CTCTTCTTCCTTGGGTACCTCCTCTTCAAGAGGAATGAGGGGTCTATTTATAAATTTTTGGAGTGGCATGGCCCGTAAATAGGTGAGAGATCATGGGTAAATGGGGAGTGGTTGGATGGACGGCCGATATTGAATCCCTTCATCATGGACCGTTAGTTAGACATTTGAAGGTCTTAATGATGTCATAATTCGGCGATCTTGGGCTCGTTGAATTCATCCCGTCGAGCTGCTCGATTCGACTATAAGACGTTATGTTTGGAAACCGCTTGGTAATCCAAATTGTGGTTCAAACTTCCTAATAGTACTTCGGGTCCTTAATTTGGACTCATTTGGGCTCAGATTGAGTTGAATTAGGTGTCGTTGGGTTCATATTTTCGAGACGTTCAGTTTGACTGTAAGTTTGCTGAAATCGGAGTTTGGATGATCCAAATTTTAATTTCGGTAGTTTCCAACTTGATTTTGCACTGAGATTCGTGCTCGACAAGATAATTTTTTGATGATGTATCAAATATGATATATATTTTTTCCCAATAATGACATCAAAATTAATTTCTTAATTTAACGCTAAAAATTTTTTGTCTAAAAAATTATAAGAAAAATAAATTTATTTAGTTAGAGGTTGTGTGAAATTAATAATATTTAATATTTTTTAAAATAAAATAAAATAAAAAACTTACAGCAATACTTCTTAACAAAATTATAAAAACTCGAAATTGAACAAAGCTAAACTGGTTTTGTGTGTGATTTGGGCTCTAGCCTCTTGGGCCCAAATAGCAGGCCCTGGACCGAATGTGCTTTTATTAATTGTTATGTCTTAGAAGAAAAAAAAAAGTGTTTACTTTAAGCTTTACATGAAAAAAATTTCTAATATTTTATCTAAATGAGATTTAATAAAAGATTAAAATAATGTAAGGATAGTCTCATATAAGTTGTTAAGACGTGTTTAAAATTTATTTATTTTTACTTTAAGATTAGTGCGATGTAATTTTTTTTAATATGTAACACTAATCTCAAAGCAAATCTAATAGTTTTCAAGCCTAGTGTGATGTCATTTGTATTAAAAGGATATATGACACATTTTTTATATATACTTTAAAAAAATTATATTATTATAAGCTTTTAAATATAGTCAATTTTATTGGCATATTTCTAGAAATTTTTGATAATATATAATGATATAATTTTTTGTTAGGAGTCTAAAAAACTATTAGAATAACTTAGAAATGAGTGTGATACAAAGTTTTCTTATGTAAGACTACTCTTCGAAAAAAAAATCAACTATTTTAAAGTTCATTTATATTAAATTTATGTCGTAATATTAGGCAATCAAAGCTCATTTAGAGAATCATCCTCATGCACATCAAATTCCTCCCCAACATCCCAATTAGGAGAGGAATCACACTCAACTAACCAATCTCCTTGATCCGCACCAATATCCTTCGATTTAAATTCCAAAAAGTGCAAGCAACACATCATTAGCAACAAGGGAACTAGGTACAACTATGAGAGGCGCTTCAACATTCACATCCACATTAATAGACCGTAAAATAGGATCAATAGAAATGCAATGTGGCAAATTAGAAACATTAACATTATCCCTATGGATAAGTAGCTTTAGGATTTAGAATATCCATAGAATCATGACCAACAACCTCCACATTATCCACATGAGCTAAATTTGTATTATCCAAGATAGTATCAGTAGGCTTAAAAATGTTTATAGGAACCCTACCAATATTTAACTACTTTAATGGCCTCAAAATCTAGTAATATTAGGGCTTGCTGGATTCTTCTCATCAGGCTGCTCATTTTACCTTTAAGCATATAAGATTTGAAGACCGTTTGGTCATCCAATTAATGTCCCAAGTTTTCAACTATCTTTCAAGTGATTGATTTGGGATCGTTTGGACTTCGATCATATCACATATTGTGTCATTATGTTTGTCTTGCCAAGACACTTAATTTGACTATAAGTTTCTTTAAATTAGACATCAGATTTTTCTAAATTTAATTCTAAAAATGTCCAATATAAATATCATATCAAGATTGGTTTTATTCAAAGTGAATTTTCTTAAAACATATCCATGATATAAAATATATGATTTTTTAACATAGCACATTTTTGCTTATTGGTTGAGGCCTAGTGTATATATTATGTGCTTTAAAAGAACCTAGAAAATAATAGCCAAATAAATTGTAGTAATGTAGTTGATGTATGAAAAGCAAAGCAACAAAAAAGTTTTCCCAAACACATCCTTAAACTCCAGTGATGACTGCTTCCCGCTTCTCAAATAAAAAGTCACAAGAAAAAGAGATTTTGTGAATTGAATTAATATAAATTGTGAATTGGATTATCATTCAATTCGGCTTTTCTTTTTAATAAATAATTTATTTGCTAATATTATTAGAAAAAACTAATTAGTAAGACACAATAAGTTAAAAAATAGAAAAAGTAATTAGTAAGACAAAAGGGAAAATAAAACAAATAAATTAAAAGTAACAGACTAAGAATAAAATAAAATTGTTTATATGTGTTAATCAAAATTTAATTAATGTTGAAAAACTAAGCTTAATTATACACATTTATGTCACATCTTTTTGTATTTCTTAATCACTTTTTATAATTTACAATTAATTTCTAATTAGAATGATAGAGAACAATTAATTAAGTATTAGCACATTAATTAAATAATTAATTGTTGATATTTCAATGATTTGTCTTAATCATCAATAAATTATAAATACAAATTATGTCATGTGTAAAATAGGTAGGGCAGGTTTGAAATTAGTTTAATAACTTGGATAGAGTAAATAATTAGCTGGCTGATATTTAAAATATTTGTACAATCATCCTTAATAGATTAGGGGAAAATTAGGGCTAGTTAATTATTTTTCTTATTATTATTTATTAATTATATTAAAATAATAAAATAAAATACAATTATATTTTCTCAAATTAACTCAAACCAAAGCCACATTATTATTTATTTATTTATTTATTTTTGGTATCAAGCTGATGGAAAGAACAAGTAAAATTCCAAAATCCAGCATATGATACAAAATAAATTGTATAATCAAGCTCATAAAAAGCCAAAAAATGGCATCACTATTTTGTAAATATTTCATTTTAATAAAATATGAATAATAAATATTCATGAGTAATATTATATTTTCTAAATTTATATTTTTATTGAACATTTTAAGAAAAAATGAATAATAAATATTTCTTTTTTTCTCTCTCATTTATTAATTTTTATTGAGTAGCATACTTTAATGACTATTTCTCCCATTCTCCCCTCACTTGAAAATAAAAATAAAAATTAAATCAAATTGATATAATTTAATCTATTAATTTAAATTTGAAAAAAAAAAACTATATACAAATCCTCTTCACTTTTTCATAACAAAAAAAAAAAAAGCACACCTATATAAAAGAAGAGTTTTGCACAGGAGCGGCTAAAATCTTCACATAAAAAATCTAGAAATAAAAACAAAATCGTAGAGTCTGATCTAGCTGAAATGATACTGTGTAATCAGAATTACGAAGTTTGCTCTTCTCCTAATTTGAAGAAGATATGATTATGATGTTATGAACACTAACTTGACCTCCTGTACTTGTAATAAACAATTAATACTGGAGAAGTAGCGGAGGGTAACTACATTAATTAGGCAATAAAGGTCGAACAATAGGAATCAATCGATGTTATTCAAGCGAAGAAGATCAAGAGATGTCAATAGGGTGATGGTGATTGGATGATAATGTTGAGTGCTGGTGTTCAAAAAACTATAATTGGGCGTTGGTGGTTGCTAATGGTGATCATTATCCTCAAACATCATGAAATAATCTAAAGTTCTTCATATATCCAAGCTCTCTTCAATTTCAAGTCAATGTGTACTCTCTAGTTTTCTTATAAGTTTTTAGTGTGGGATTTTGGTATATCTTACCAAAACTCATAATATTTGTTGACTAAGATCATCGTTTTTGGTGTTATTGGGTTATTCTCGGCAAGACATTCAGTTTAACTATAAGTTTTCTAAAATCAAAACTTGATGATCTTGAAGTCAATCATCATGATTCAAGCTTGGTCGATGGATTTTCGGATGACATATCACCTCTAAATAAAATAAAGTTGATTTCGATAAGAATATCATAAGATAAAATTAATCACAATAATATTATAGTCATATAATGTATACTCTTTTTATAGATAAATAGAGTTGATTTGGATAAGAATACAACAAACAAAAGCCTTTATCCTACTATGTGGGGTGGGCTACATGAATACTTTTTCTCCATTGTGTCCTATTAAGAATCAATTTCTCATCTAAATCAAATAAAGAAAGATATTTCTAATATTTTATTACCAAGTCTTTTTTAGGTCTACCTCTACCATTTTTAATACAAGTTAAATCTAATATATCTACTTTCATAACCGAGTCATTCGAAAACTGCCATTTTATATGACCAAATCATTTAAGGCGACTCTCTCTAATTTCTCATTTCGTTTTCTATCTCTAAGAGTAAAGACACTCATCCAGTTGAGCATCATCATCTATGCAACACTAACTTAATATTATGCTTTTCCTTTAATGACCAACATGATGGTCTGTAAAGCATTGCAGGTCTCACTACCATCTTATATGATTTTCACTTAACATTGAGATGTACTTTTCTATCGCACAACAAGCCTGATGCATTCCTCCACTTCAACCATCCAACTAGAATAAGTTGATGAATATCATAAGAAAATTTAATTGCAATAATATTATTGTCATCTAATGTAAACTCATTTTTAGATAAATTTAACATAAAATTTAATTAATTAATCATATTTTATACACATTTTTTTTTAAAAAAATATATATAATATTATAAAACATATGTCAACAACTGAACAAAGGGGTAGAACCGGCATTTCGTAATCAAAAGGGTCTGACCGTCTGAATAAGTGAATATAAACGACAGCAAGCTGCTCCCTCTTCCTCCCGAACTCCTCAAACGCAAGATTCACAGAGGACTGAAAAAGGAAACAAAGAAATTGCAGAGATCAAGATTTTTTTCCATATTGAGGGAGCTATGAAAAAATGCGAGCTTTGCAAGCTCCCAGCAAATATACACTGCGAATCAGACCAGGCGATACTGTGCTGGGAATGCGACGCCAAGGTCCACGAAGCCAACTTCCTGGTCGCGCGGCACTCGCGTAACCTTCTATGCCGGAGATGCCAGGCGCCGACTCCATGGAAATCATCGGGCTCGCGGCTTTCCTATTCCGTCTCAGTTTGCGAGCGATGCGAAGCATTCCAGGAAGATTCAGTGGTGACTGATGAGGAAGAGGAAGGGGAGAATAAGTTGGTGCCGTTGAGGATCTCTCCGCCGCCGGATTTCGGTTCTTCGAATGGGGTCGAGGCGGAGGAAATCGGAGATACTGCGTATATCGGCTTCGAGGTAGAGGGAAGAAATCGTATGGAACGTGGATTGATTTTCCTTTTTTAAGTTGTTGTTCTGAAATTTTGGTTAGTGTTTCAGGTTTAGGGTTTTATTTTTTGGTTTCTGATTGGAAATGGCTTATCGGCAGAGCGATCAACCTTGGCACGCCCTATCTGCTGACGACGAAGATTCCACCAGTACCGGAAGCCCTCTGATGTAAGTGACGAAATCGCAAACTCCATTTTTCTAAAGAAAATTTAAATATGAAACCAGTGAATTTCTTTTAAACTGCTCAGTGCTCACTCTATGCTTTTGTATGATTAAATTATGTTTCAGTTTCTTATTTTTTTGAATTTTAATTTGTCAGAGTTAAGGGATCGCTTACAACAGAAACGAATCAATAAAGAAAAAGTATTAGCACATGATGGTATAATATTTCAGTATTTCACTATTGGTTTTATTCAGATTTTTTAGTCAAAGGATCAGGAGTTCTACAGGAAGGTTTTGGGATTATGATTAGGCTATTATCAGGATGGATTTAAAAGCGTATTTATTTGTAAGTTAGTTAGTGTATCCTTAATCTCAAAGTAAATTGACAGTTTTTAAATCGATCATGATTATCAGATATCCTGACAACATTTTAATTTTTTTTTTTAATTAGGATTTGGATCCTCTTCAATTAACATGGGGATTGTAAGGAAGAAGTGGTGATCAATCCGATCATTTAATTCATTTAAGGGGATTAAGATTATAAACTGTAATAAAAAAATTAAAAATAATCCTAGTGCTCTAACTCTTTTTATGTGGTTGAGTTTCTGGCATGTCAGAATATTCATGGTATTAGAGAGTGAGTGTTTATCATTTTGATATTGTATGAGCATCTAGCACACACATAAATAAAAGATGATCGTAATGGACACTAGAATTTTTACGTAAAAACTCGAAAAAGAGAAAACCAATGTGCATGACCTAATTGACATGATTTTACTTGTATTTATCGTTTGTTTCAAATGATTCTCTTCCCCGTGATAGAGGAAGCTGTCTTGCAGACAAACTATATATGATGAATTTCGTGGTGAAAGTTGGAAGAGCCATGTAGCATGAGAGTTGCCTTCAAGAGTTTGTTTGTTGCGTGTTTAATTGTGCCCCTTTAAGGTGGGGAAACCATAGACCAAGAAGCCCAATATAAATCTTGGTGTTGAAGTCATAAATCAGACTGTGTCAACAATGTGCATTGACTATTTAGGCGATAACTTGTGTCGATGCTATTGGCAACTGTGGGCAATGAAGTTGGCAGACGCCGGTGTAGTTGGACAATAGTAGTCATGATACAACATTGGTGACTATCATTAGGAGATCATTTTCGGGCGACAATGTTTAGGTAATTGTAGTCAAGCAATGGTGATTGTAGGATCATAGTTGTGTGACCGTGGTCGAAGGATTATAGTTGGACAATGATGGTTGAAATACCATTATCGGGTATGTTGATAAGAGGATTATAGTTGAACAATAATGAATGGAGGACCGTAGTTGGGTGACGGTAATTGGCGGATCATAATCATATGATAATTATTGGGAGGACATAGTTATGAAATAGTGGATGAAGTCGAGATATGATTGTCGAAAGACCAGAGTCAAGTGACAGTAGTTAGGAGATCATAGTTGGGCAATAATTTTTGGAGGATCGTAGCCTAGCAATAGTAGTTGGAGGAACTTAGTCAAACGATGGTGGTAAGAAGACTGTAGTCGAGTGATGATGATCGGAAGACCATAATATGGCGACGGCGGTTAGAGCATCATAATCTGACGATAATGGTTAGGAGATCATAGTCGGGTGATAGTGTTCTAAGGACCGTAGTCATACAATGGTATTCGAATGGTTATAGTCAAGCGATAATGGTCAAAAAACTGTAGTTGGACAATAATAATTGAAGGACTGTAATTGAGTGATGATGATAAGGAGATCATTGTTTGGCGACGATGGTGGGAGGACTGTAGCCAAACAACTGTTGTCGGAGGGCGATGGATCGAAGGAAGTGGTGGTCTAATGACGGTTGTATATTGGCAGTGGTCGAACTATGGTGATTCGATGATGATAATTGGTCTGTGATGTCCGTTGGTGGTTTTTTGTTGGTTGTGGTTCGACGGCAGTGGTTTGATGGAGCTCTAGGATTCTTGTAGTCGCTCTTTTAAATCTTAAGCCAAAGTCTTCTCTCTTTTTATAAGTGGAGGTTAATTTTAAAAATTTGAGAGTGGCATAACACATAAAAATAATTAATTTTTGAAACACTCTTAGAAGACCCTTATTGATTCTCTTGATTATAATATGTTCTTTGAACATTTAGATGATGTTTGAATTAAGCAATTTTAGGCTTATTGGATTTGTATCATCAAGATGCTCAATTTGACTGTGAGCATACAAGATTTGTAGATTACTTGATCTTCTAATTAATGTCTCGAAGTTTTCAACTATATATTAAGTGCTTGATCTAAGCTTGTTTAGACTTGGATGTATCACTTTTGATGCCGATCAATTCATCTCATTTTAGTCAATCAATTCAAACATAAGTATGCTTAAATCAGTGTTTTGATAGTCCTGAATTTAGTTCTAAATTTTCTAATTCAAATATACATTAAGATTTGTGCATGATCAAGTTCATTTTTTTCTATAACTTGCCAAGATTACTAGTGATTGTTTGATGGTTCCACATGTTCTAGTCTCAATATAGATTCATATCCAAAGATGATTGAAATAATAAACTATAACTATGGATTAGATCATGTGTTTTGAGTTAGAGATTTTTCTATATGGACTACAATTGGTAAGTTCTGGAGCCTAATCAATTTCCTTATAAGAAAACATCTCACATAGGCTTAGTTTGCAAATTGATTTTGCTTCATTAAGGCTTCATTTGAGACGACTTTCTTACTGCTTCGTTAAGTGACTTTCTAGTTTAATTTTGTACTAAAAAGCCGCTTTAAGAAGCAGAAAGAGAGCCATCTCAAACGAAATCTAAGTGGATTCTTCGAGTTGTTTCATTAAGCATGTTTTGAAATTTCACTGTAATTTTCAGTTGCCATAAATTTTTGCCATCATTAGATTTGATATGGGAGATCAAAATTTTGAGCTCTATAATCGTTATCATAGTGAAATATATAGCATACGCAGAGTCGCAGACCAATATAAGGATCTATCTTATTTCATTAAAGTGAGTTCTTCAAAATTCCTGTAATTTAAGTTTTCATAAAAAATTTCAATCATTTTTTTCATCTTTACATATTTACATATCTAACACCTAATTTTTTTTTTTTACTTGCATGCCACTTTAGTAGTTGAATCACATGTAATAACGTTTACTTTATATAAATTCATATTACTGATATTTTTAATGTGATGAAGTGATTTTAATGCTGTATAAATAAACATAAAAATTTAGATATTGGATATGTAAATATAAAACAATTTTGGGCTATGCACTAAGTCAAGTTCTTACTTTCTTGCTAGCTCAAATTATATTTACTGCTTGGATTTAAATGAATGGATTTTTTTTTTGTTTGTTTGTAATGAACAAACCAGCTATGCGTTCTTTAAGTTTTATTTGGGATAGTTTTTTTATTGCTTTTTAAAGCAGCTTTTCAATACAAAAATTTTTTAGCTTGAAATTTTTGAACTAAAAATTGCTTTCGAAAGTAATAAGAAAGTTGTCTCAAATGAAATATTGGGCTTCTTTTAGGTTAGTTTTCTTACTATTTTCTAAAGAAGTTTTTTAGTACACATTTTTTTGAAAGCAGCGAAAAAAATAATATTAAAAAAATTGCCCCAAACTAAGCCTTAGGCTTCGTTTGGGACGGCTTTTTTATTGCTTATTGAAATTTCTAGTACAAAAATTTCAATAAGGATCTTCTAAGAGCAAAAAAGCCGTCCCAAACGAAGCCTTAGTCAACTCATAATTCATTTGGATTTCATTTCATTTCATTCACATGCCTTCAATCAAACAAAAGCCTTATACAATCTTTAGCAGGGCTAGCTTTGGGTCTTCAATAATACATTTATGTGTTCTTGCTTTTGTGATGCAGATAGTCACCCGACTCTTAGCCTATATTTGGAGCAATGGAAGGCTGAGATTCAAGTTCACTAAGGCTTCGTTTGGAATGGCTTTTTTATTGCTTATTAAAGCAGCTTTATAGTATAAAAAAATTAATTTTAGTACTAAGAAGCTGCTTTAAGATGCATAAAGAAAGCCTTCCTAAAAGAAGCCGAAAAGAAAATTATGTCAGAGAGAAGTACACTGTTAATTTCACCTCTCATTCTAAGAGGTCTTCCTTCAGTTTTGAGGGAGTCAAAGATGAGCACAGTGCATGTTCTCTTACACAATTTTTTAAAAGAATCATGTTATGATTATTCAACAAGTTTTACGTTGATTATCAACTACCTAACGCAACACTCCACTTTTATCATCCAGAACTTGGGACCTGGCAACAGTTAAGATAATTTTATAGTAATGAGAAATTTATCGGGAGATTTGCCTACATATCATAAATTTTTTATTTATTTATATATCTAATACTTAAATCACATTAAAACATACTTAAAAGAAGTGTATTTTAGTATAAATAGGTTAATATTAATAATATTTTTTTCTCTAAGTTAGATAATTGAGTTTTACATACATAAATATTAACATTTCTATGTTAGATTTGTAACTAAAAATATTTGATGTTATGTATATAGATTTCACAATTTTATTTGTTTATTTTATATTATATATTCAATGAGCATAAAAATTATCTTGATTAAAATTTAATCCAAACATCATAATTAAAACCCATGTTTCAGTGTAGGTTTACTTGTTCCCCAAGAATGAATTGATGGGATGCAATATAAAATCCAAAAGAAGATGGAATTATATACATTTGGTTAATTTTGATTATTGCTTTGTAATTTGGAAGTGGTCAGAAATTAAGGTTTCGTTTGAGATAGTTTTCTTACTGTTTCTGAAGTTGCTTTAAGAAACAGTAAGAAGGCAATTTCAAACGAAGCCTAAGGATCCGTTTGGGACGACTTTTTAACTGTTTCTTAAATCAGCTTTCTAGTACAAAAATTAAAATACTTGTTATAGAAAGCTACTTTACGAAGCAGTAAGAAAGTCGTCCCAAACGAAGCCTAATGTGGTGGTGGGTGGTTATTAGGGCTTCATTTGAGATTATTTTTTAATCATTTAGTTTTCATATCGTAGTTTTTTTTTTGCTTTTCAGATAGCAATTATAATTTTTGTTTGGCTACTGCTTTTCATAATTTTTTATGCTAGAAAATTATTTTCTACAACTTTCAAAAAAAAAAACTATCTTATAAACCTTTATAAAAATCTGCAACTGTCCCAAAAAGATCCTAGATTTGTAGACGAGTCGAGTTTGGGCATGCTCGGCGTTTGTTTAGTTATATATACATTTTGGTCGATGATGACTATAGTTTTGTTCTCTTTTAGCTACCTCAATGTTTGCTCATGTTTGACATATTTGAATCTTTGTTCTTTTGAGTTCAGCTCGTGTTCTATATTTGGCTCCATAAATATTCCTATATGATCCATTCATCAAATAAATAAGCCTAAATTTGATTTAGATTTTTTATTTTGATATTAAATGAGCTAAATATAAGTAAGAGCTAACTCAATTATATTTGTTTTGATTAAAATATCATTTAATAATATATATATTTTGGTAAAAATATTTTTTAAAATTTATTTTGAAGTCATTGAGTTAATCACATATATAACCTTAAATATAGACGGCGTCACCATATCGCATATGTTGTATTCAAATTTGGCCATTTACATCACAATCATCTCATTCAAAATCTACATCGCAATCGCACCTTTGTCGTCTTCATTGACTCATGTACGGCTAGCATCATAATCGTCGTCACATTCCCTTCCGAATCCACATCGCAATCTTGCTTGTGTCATAGTCATCTCCTTCAAGACCTACATCACAACCTCATTTGGGTCATGACTATCATTGTCTTAATTAGGGGTGTAAACATGTCGAGTCAAGCTCGAGATAGGGGGTATTCGAGTCAAGCTCAACTATCAAATACCGAGTTCAAGCTCAAACTTCAGTCGTGCTCAAAAGTTTAGCTCGAGCTCGACACGTTCAAATGTAAATGAGTTTGAGCTGCTCATCCAGCCGCATGTCAAACCTCCCAGGATTAGTTTCAACTTTCATGATTGCAATTTTTTAAAAGTTAAAACTGGAGAGTGAGAGAGAGAGAGTGAGTGGCTTTTTAAAAATTGAAACGATAAGTCTTTTTTGGAGTTTTATCATATACATCATTTAGTGCTAAGTTTTTTAAAATATTTGAATTTAATAATTTCAAGATGGCTCACGAGCTCTCGAGCCAAACCTAATGAAAAGCTCGAACTCAAGCTCGTTTAATAAATGAGCTCGAGCTTGACTCGTGAGCTCGATAAGCTCAACTTGCGAGCCCATAAACGAGTCGGGCTCGAGCATGCTCGGCTCACTTACACCCCTAGTCTCAATACTAAGCTTCAACCTCAATTGAATCATATCGTCTCGCTCAAAAAGCATGCTACAATATGGCTTGCTCTATAGCGGAACTATTCTCGACGCATATACAACAATTATTTATTTAATCAATCAGTTCTAAGCACAGACAGTAATCGAGCATTAAAGAAGCCTAACTAAAGCTCAAATGAGATTCGGATTGCATCTCATCTGCAAGAATCAAACAAGGCGAGAAATCTAAGATTTGGTTATTAAAATGGAAGGTTTCGTTTGGGACAATTTTTTATAGCTTTCTAAAGCAGCATTGTAATACAAAAACTTCTAGTTTAAAAAAAATTTATAGTATAAAACTATTTTAGAAAGCGGTATAAAAAGTTATCCCAAATGAAACCTAACGGTTGATCAAAAACAAACTTTGGACAATAACAAGAGGTTTGAACTAAATTTCAAATAAGATCAAATCGCTTATTTTCTGCTAAAATCAAACACTAGGGGTAGAAATATAAGATTTGTCCGCTAGAATCAAACTTTTGATCAAAAAAGCAAATTTTAGATCATCTCCAACCGAACTACATACCACTGTATGTAGTCCACCATTCGTTGCATTCGAAGACCAAATCTCACGCAAAAATTCGGTAGACAAACAGTGCGACACCAGTATTGACGTCAGACTATTCTCCTACGTCAAAAAATTGAGTTGTAGATTTGCTGAAGAAGAGCGCGAAAGAGAAGAAAAGTAGGGAGTGATGATTACCTTCGCAAGAAGTGCATGAAAGAAATAAGAAATGCAATTCGATTGGAGATGAATTACATTATTTTGAAGTTTTACTGCATTTTAGAGTGAAAAATGATTTTTTCGGTTGGAGATGCCCTTAGAAGATGATCTGAGGTTAGAACTAAATTTCGAATAAGCTCAAATCAATTTATCTGCTAGAATCAAACACTAGGATATAAATCTAACATTTGACTACTAGAATCAAACTGTTGATCACTAACAAACTTTGTAACATAAACGTGAGATTAAAATACATTTACACAAGAGATAAAAAAGAGACAGCAATGTCTATTGCATAACAAAAACGACCAAATTTAACAATGTCTCTCAGAAGCAAATATCAAAGGTAACAGCAAAGAGCCAAAGACTGTAAAAGGACAAACAGTTCCTTCAGTTCTGATACAAGAAAATAGAGTAAGAGTTAAGTAAACCAACCTCTTACACATAGGTCGTCAAATCCTCACTAAGAAAGGCCTTTCCAGGTTGCCTGTTAGCAAGCCGTCCATGGCATCCCAGCAACTTAGCATTAACTCCATCTGAAACAATCCTGTTCTCCTGCTTCCATTTTATGTAATCAGTTCTGCTGAACTTAGTGAAACCCCATTTTCTGCTCACAATTATCTTCTGCCTTCCAGGAAACTTGAATTTGGCTCTCCTCAAAGCTTCCTGCGCATGAGCGCTGTTGTTATCCTTGCACCTGACAGAAAGTAAAACCTGACCAATGGCTACCCTTGCGCAGGTTCCCTGAGGCTTTCCGAAAGCTCCTCGCATGCCAGTCTGGAGTCGATCAGCTCCGGCGCACGAAAGCATTTTGTTGATACGGAGGACGTGGAAAGGGTGAACCCGGACGCGAAGGTGGAAGGCATCCTTGCCAGCCGCTTTCGTCATGTACTTGTTGCAGGCGATGCGAGCAGCTTCCAGGGCTTCGCTTGAGACATTCTCCTTCTCCCAGCTGACAAGGTGGACGCAGAATGGGAACTCGTCGACGCCTTTCTTTTTCATGCCAACATCGTAGATGCGGATTTTGGGGTCAGGGACACCGCGGCAATACCTTGATTTGGGGTAGGGTTTGTTCTTGATCTGACGGTAACAACGGGCAGGCCTTCGACCCATTTTGCCTGAAAGAAAATCATATTAAGTGTGTTAGAGTTTATTTAACTAATAATTTCAGAACTAAAGAGTTCTGGAAAGAAACAGAAGATGCAATGCTGAATTCCCCTCAGAATACATATGCTATGATTTTCAACATCAAAGAATGTTCAGACAAGGCTGAAACTCATAGTTCATTCAATCACAGGGGTCTTCAGCAAAATACACTAACTTAAGAGAAAACACAGCGAAAAAGACATTTGCTCAAATCAAAATAATCAGAAGAATAAGAAATCACCAAACAAATAGAAGAAATAAATGTAGCCAACAGGATAATATATATAAAATATAATAACAACAATGCCTTTATCCCACTATGTGGGATCAGCTATATCAGCTATATGAATCATTTTTCTCCATTGTGTCTTGTTAAGAATCAAATTTTCACTTAAATCTAATAAAGAAAGGTGGTTTCTAATATTTTCTAACCAAGTCTTATTTAGATCTATCTCTACCTTTCTTAACATAGACCAAATCTAATACATCTACTCTCCTAACAGGGTCATGGGAAGGCAGCCATTTTACATCACCAAACCATTTAAGGCAACTCTCTCTAACAATGCCATTGCCCAGTCTCAAGTCCTTGACGAGAAAAGTGAAGGGTTGCATTAGGTAGTCAACAGCTAGCGTAAAATTTATCGAATAAATCATGATATACATCCTTTAATATATATCAAATATAATATTCAACAAAATATTGCCTTTCAAATTACTAACAGGATTAGCGTTTATATCAAAATTCCAACCAAGCACAACCATCTTGCATCATAAAGGCTTTTTGTTTGGGACGACTTTCTTGTTTAACTTCTTAGTATAAAAATTAAAAATTTTCTACTAAAAAGATGATTTAAGAAGCAGAAAGAAAACCGTCCCAAATGAAACCAAAGAGGCTAAGATCTAAGGTTCATGAAACAAATTGATCTGCTGTCAGTATTGCCATAAATTACTCACTAATGCGTTTTAGCTGAAATGCTGAATAGCGAGGTTGATAGCAAAAAGTATATCAAGTGACAACAAGTTGAATCATCCATAATTCAACCAGCTGGGTGAGCTCAATGCATCTCCATTCTAAATTCATTCCCATTGCTTGTTATTTGGTTTGTTAAATCCAAGTTGCACATACATTTTTACAGAATTTCAAACCGTTTGACTTAGGCCTACCCTTTAACCTTCCTAATGTAACAAAATTGCTTGTTATTTTATTTGTTAAATCTAAATTGCACATATATTTTTACAGAATTTTAAACTGTGTGACCTGGACCTACCCTTTATCTTTCCTAATGTAATGACATTGCTTTAACTGAACATTTTGTTGTTGCATAACTTACCCCCCCCCAATTGCTTGTTATTTGGTTTGTTAGATCCAAGTTGCACATACATTTTTACAGAATTTCAAACCGTTTGACTTAGGCCTACCCTTTACCTTCCTAATGTAACAAAATTGCTTGTTATTTTATTTGTTAAATCTAAATTGCACATATATTTTTACAGAATTTTAAACCGTGTGACCTGGACCTACGCTTTATCTTTCCTAATGTAATGACATTGCTTTAACTGAACATTTTGTTGTTGCATAACTTACCCCCACTGTAAATGTTTAAATCACCTATAATCCTAACTTTGAAGAGCATTAATATCACGATCTCTATGATATAATCATTTATAATTCATCTTTTTTTAATTTTTTCACATATCGATCTCAACAATCTCTTTCTTTTAAATGACTAAATTATTTTCTAATACCGAAACGCAAATAGCATAACCAGTAGAACAATAAATTTGATCAACATCCATTTAAGTCGTTATTCTCTAATCATTATATACTCCTAATGCACTCTACATTTAATCACATTGCATTAGACCCATAAATTATAACCTCATTCTTCAACACAATAAACTATGTACTTGAATCTATCATACCTATATATCACTTAATCTTCCAACAATAATTAATCACTCTATATTTTACTCTGAAATCATATGCTAAACTTTATGGTACTACTATCAATCCCCAAGTATTTTAAATATTTCTTCCACCATACTAGCTTTCTACCTACCCCAAAGGTTTCACATATTACAAATATGTAAGCTAAGAAAAACATGTGCCAAGACACATCACTTTAAATATCCTTTAACAACATCTCAATGCTGAATTTTTTTAACAACATCTCCAATGCTGATATAGAAGGATAAAAATTATGACCCTTAATAAAATTTTCTGGTGATTTAGAACATTTGATTACTCAACAAATTTCAATCATTGTTGCATCACGAATATCTTTAACAATTATGCGACCATGTTAAATTAAAAGAAACACATCAAATGATAATATTCATATATCGATAAGAGTTCAAGTTGAGAAATTGAAAGATCAAAATATGTAAATCTCATATTGAAAGAAAAAGCTCAAAGAACCACTGATGTAAATCAGAACACCGATATCATGTTACAGTGGAACTATCTCTTTCCTTCCTACAGTAACCTGAAAAAAAACAAAATTTCTGATCCAAATTATAGTATTGTCTGAAAGTAAAAAACTTCAGGCTGTAGGTAGAATACACAATGCATAATGAAGAGCAGCTTATATTAAGAAAACTTACTATCAAATGCATAAGATCGTGCACTAGTCAACTCAGTAACATTACTCAAGCAAAAATATATTGTTTAATATGAGTATTAACTGATTTTACAATACATATCCAACATCATCGACTACTTAAAACGCAAATAGTGGCAAAGTAAACAAGCATCAGCGAGAAAATTTGTAAAATAATGGAAGGTTAAGCCGTAGTTCTTAGTTTTAACCTATAGTTGTTCATTTGGCTGACAAATCAAGGAAGAGCAATCATATTACAGCAATAAACGATATTGTTCCCGACCAGAAAAAACCTTCTAACGGATCTAACAAATATAAGAACCTAAAAAAAATTCTTTCAACTAAACTTGGGCACAAGCTTACATGATCCATAAATCCAAATATTCAACCGACTACTTCGTTCACAAATAGAAAAGCCTACAGTAACCCTAAGCAAACCCAAACAATTCGAAGCACAACAGACGAGATAAAATAAGGAAAAAAAGATCGGCTACAGCCAAAAAGTAGATCGAAAAATCAGCATAAAACATCTCCTTCAGTTCAGGTCTCCAAATTTTCTCCGCATGGATGGAATTACCAACCTCGGAAGAACGAAAGTTTTCTTTCTATCATCATTGGAGATGCAGTAGAATCAAAAAACAAAAAACAACCTAGAGATTGGTTAACAAACCTATAGGCCTTCTACCATAAACCGATAAAATCTAACAAACAGATCCAAAAGAAAAAAAAAAACCATAGCGTTCTGATAAAAATTTTGAGAGCTGGGCTGAGAAAAATTGTACCTCTTTGGAATTCTGACGGCGCTTGGAGAATCTGTTTTTCCGATTGGGGGAAAGCCGCGAGTTTTATAGAGAGGTCGAGGGAGTCACGTACTCAAACCCTAATTCGCTTGGTATGGTCAAAGTATTATCGAGCCGTCCGACCCTAATTCTTTTCATATCCGACGGTAGAAAACCCGCAAGGCTTATTTCGCTTTTAATTTAGATATATATATATATATATATATATTATTTTTTTAATTTTAAAAAATTATAACTGATGAAGAATAATCTTTGATATTTTATGACTTGTTTATTGGACTCTAAATTAAATTATTTGAATTTGGCTTGATTTAAATCTATATTAAGACAATGATATGACCGATAGTGTGTGAAGGAGGAGATGAGTTCGCCATATCACAACGTGCAATGAACCTCATAGAGTCATAGGAAAGGCATCGTGATTGGCAAGTGTCGCAGAGCTTGTAGAAAAGGCATGGTAGATTGAGCTGCATGTAAAGGAGAATAGGCGTACACGAGACTTGTACTATGCTAATGGTGCTAATTGGGAAGGCACCGTAGGGTTGCGATATGTGAAAGAGCAAGGAGTTCACATGACTGACAGTGTGCAACAGAGCTCGATGGGGAAGATACCACGAGAGAGGAATCATTCAAAAATAATGAGATCAAGATTAGGGATTTATTATTTTATGTGCACACTGAATGTCATCCGGCGATCAACTAGAATTCGCCATGTCACTCCGCTCAATACCGTTGACGTGACGCATTTTGGTTGGTCACTAGATGTAGAGCTGCGTCCGGCCTCCGCACAGAATAATTTCTCCCATGCCCAGACATTAATTGACATTAATTTGAACCACGATTTAACATATGTTCAAATTTGAACTAGATTAAATCAATTTCATTTGCAGCAAATTTCTATAAACAGTCTTCCAATACAATAAGAGAGAATAAAATCAGATGATTTCTCAATCAACACGTCTTTGATCCACCAACATATTTAAACTTTGCAGATTATAACAGATTAAATATTCCAAGCTGGCAAAGAGTTAATTTATTGAGTAAGAAGAGTTCAATTTCTTTTTCTATTGTGAATATTTATAAATGAATTTGATATACAGTGAACCGACTTTTAATTATTCTATAAAGAGACACAATTTTATACAAATTAAATATATGACTAAGGATTCGTTTGGGGAGAAATTATTACATGCGGTCAGCAGACAATCCGGAGGCCAATCAGGACTTGTTATGTCACCCGATATACAACGGTACACAGTAAATTGGTGATGTGGCACTTCCTAATTGGCCTTTGGACTGCATCCGGTGATCGCACATAATAATTTCGCTCGTTTGGAATAGCTTTCTTACGGTTTCTTAAAGCAGCTTTTTAGTAAAAAAAAATAAAAAAATTTAAAAAAAAAATTGCTTTAATAAGGAGTAATAAAGTTGTCCTAAACAAAATCTAAATGCTAAACATCATCATGGAAGTAAGCACATTCATTGTATTTGGACACATTGTGTGCTATTTTTGTATTTACTTGGTCGAAACGGGTTAGAATGATATTTTCTTTTAAGTCAAGAGATAAAGTATGAGTGTACGGCGAGTCGAGCCAAACTAGAAGGCTTTGAGGCACACTTGACTTGAGCTTTTGCTTTAATTTGATTAATTAATTGAGTTCAAACTCTAACTCGAGTTTAATTCTTTGAGTTAGAGTTTACTCATTTATTATAAAACATATAAGAATAAGATCATTCTTAATTGCATATTTATTATAATAATATGATTAAAAATATGAAATTATATGAGAAATAATAATTGATCACTTAAAATAAGAAAAGAGAAATATAAAGTTTTAATATTCTTGGCAAGCTTATACTAAAATGATTTAATTTTAATATATATATATATGTATGAGCCAACTTGAGAGTTGTCGAGCCGAGTCGGGTTAGTTTAGCTCAAATTTGACCTGTTAGCTTATTGAATTTGATTCACGAGTCATTTATCGAATCTAGCTCGAGTGTATTC